CCGTCAACCATTAAAAATTTTTTAAACACACTTTTTTCAAAAAGAGGTAGAGTGGAGAGAAAAAAACCTCACTATTATTCATTCAATCAACCCGTCCTTCCAAAGCTTTTCTAACATCAAGTACAGAAGACCCTTTTTGGGTTTAAACAATTTCCCAACCATTCTTTCCCGAGTACAGCACCTACTTCCCCCCTGTGGCTTTCTTTGTGTTTTAAAAAATATTTTTAAAATTAACATGTGAACTACACATGTATACTATGTAAAGAAAAACCCTTTTTTTAATTGAATATTATCTAGTAAATGTAAACCCCCCTCAGGCAAATTTTTTTTTAGTTCCCCAAATGTGGGCTCTTTTTTCCCCCCTTACGTGGGGGAGCTAAATATGATTCTTTATCTATTTGCCCCAGATTTTTTTTTAAAAATTTTTCCAAGATGTCAACCAATCACTCTCCCTTTTTTCTTTCCCTCTACCAAAAGAAAGCATTTTCATTGTCCTTTTACTCCCTTTGGGAAATCAGACCCTACCAAGGGAAAAATTTTTTATTTTTTTTGTACTGTTTACGACAATATATTAAAAAGACCCATGAATTTTTCCTCAAATGAAAGAGTCACCCAAAGTTGGAAAAAAAAAAAAAAAAGGGTTTTTTTTCATTTTATTGAGATGTTTTGTCCCCCAGAACAAATGCCATTTAAAACCCCATACTGTTTCTTATCAACATCAACTAAATAAACAATCATTTGGAAAAGTCTTTTAAAAAAATTTTTCCCTACAAACTATTTTTTTTTTTAAGGGAGGGGGGGAAAGTCTTCACTACTACGCATACCCCCTAATTTATTTTTGGTTTTTAAATTATCTGTAAATATTTTTTTTTCTTTGCACCCCACTAGCCATACATCGGAAAACTAAAAGAACATTTCCGGGGTTTCAGAAAAAAAAGAATTTGGTTAATCTAATACTACCTGAAAAGTCAGGTAATTTCTTTAAAATTTTTTCTCTAATTATTTTCTGATTATCATTAAAAGTTTACCCTTTAAGGAGGTACTAAACCCAAGGGTTATACTAAAAGTGCCCCCAACTTAGGGAACTTTAGGCAATCCCCCGTGCCTAGGGCCCTTTGAAATGGGAGGAATCAAATTTTAAACAAAGAAAGGGGGAGAGCTTTAAACTACCTGAATTTAAAAACTCTTCAATGGTATCATGCCCCTGTAGAAATTTTGTTAGCTTATCCAAATTTCCCGTAAGGTTTTTTATGATTTTTTTACACTAAAAATCCCTTTTCCCAGAGTGTTGTAAGGGCCCAAATAAAATGCCGGGAGCAAGGGGGTAGTAACCCCTTCTCCTGTTAAAATTTATTAAATTTAAAAAAAGAAACTTTTTAATTTCTTTTTTGGCCACCCACCTCGGTGGGGGCAAATGGCTGGTTTGTTAAGAAAAGAATAATCTCCATTTTTAAATTTCAAATTTAAATTTTTTTTTACAAAAGTCCATCAACCCTTTGTCTGCACTGTTTTTAGTCAAGGTTTCTGTGGCCCCCTGATTCTTTAAGAAAAACCAATATATGCCCTATGTCTGTCCCTTTCTTTTCCCCCGAGTTTAATTTTTTTGACTTTAAATGGAGAGAGAAACTTAACCCTAATTTTTAAAAAACTATAACAAAATATTGCCCGATCTGGGGCTGGGGATTGATAAATCACAAACGCTTTGCCCCCCCCATTCAAGCCCCTATCACAAAATTTTTTGACTAATATAAGTGTAAAATTTTTTAAATAGGTTTGGGAGACAGCAACCACCCCCCCCCGGGGGGTACCCACTGTCCGGGCCCAAAAGGGGTGTAAAAAAGAAAGCCTGTAATTGTTTTTTCATGATGGTAGGATTACTGGTGTCCTTTTTTTTTTTTTTCCATAAAAAATTCAAGATTTCAGGACTCTTTCACTTTTTACTTACACTTAGGGCCCACTACAAAATACATGTACAGCATATACCCTACATTTCCCCTCTGGGTTTTCTTTTAAATTTCTTTCTAGTTCTTTTTCTTGTCTATTTCCTCTTTATCTCCATGGGGAAGTGGAACAAAAAATTTTTCCTCCCCAAAACCATTGCTTTTCTTTAAAAGGTTTACAAAAAAGCCGGGGGCAAGGGGCTAGTAACTCCTTCGCCCGTATTAAAATTTCTAAATTGGGAAAGGGGAAACTTTCCCTTTTTTTCCCTTTTTGGGCCCCCCCACCTTTTGGGGGATTTTGGCTGGAAAGTTTTAAAGAAAAAAGAAACAAGCAAGATATCAGGTAACGTTTTTGCTTTTCTTTTTACTTAACTTGGGTTTACACTGCACATTTCATGTACAACATATATAAAATTTTACATACCCCTCTGGTTTCTTCTATTTTCTTTCAAATTTTTGTTCTTTTCTATTTTTCCCCTTTTTCTCCAAGGGGAATGGCCAGAATTCTTCCCTCCTAAGCCAAGCGTTTCGTAAGAAAGGGGACTAAAAATGGGCCGGGGGCAAGGGGGAAATAACTCCTTCTCCTGTATAAATAAATAAATTTGGGAAAAGGGGAAAAACTTTCGTTTTTCCTTTGGGCCACCCCACCTCGGGGGGATAAGGCTGGACGTTAAAAAAAGAAAGAAAAGGGAAGATTTTAGGGACTCCCAGCCCACTTTACTTTTCACTTTGGGTTTACACTGCACATACAAAGTTTCCGGATAAATAAAATATACATACCCCTCTGGGGTTTTTTTTTCTATTTTCTTTTTTAGTTCTTGTCTTTTTCTATTTCCCCCTTATCTCCATGGTGAAGTTGGGAACCCCAAAAAAATTCCTCCCTAAGCCCCTGCGTGTCGTAAGGGGGTGACTAAAATGCCCCGGGGAAAAAGGTGCTAGTAACTCCTTCTCCGTAAAAAAATTACTAAATTGAAAGGAAAAACCTTTTTGTTTTTCCTTTCGGGGCCCCCCCGCCCTTTGGTTGGGGTATTGGCCCGGGACCCTTTAAAGGGAAAAAAAGAAACATTTCAAGATTTTGGTACGTCTTCTACTTCTTTCTTACACTTGGGGCACATTGCACATCCCTGTACAAGCAAATATATATATAATACATACCCCTCTGGGGTTTTTTTCTATTTTCCTTTTCTAGTTTTTGTTCTTGTCTATTTCCTCTTATCTCCATGGTGAAGGGAACAGGGGAAATTTTTCCTCCATAAACCATGCGTGGCATAAGAGGCAAAATAAAATGGGCCCGGGGGCAGGGGCTAGTAACCCCTTTTTCCTTTTAAATTACTAAATTTAAAAAGAGAAACTTTTTTTTTTGGGGGGGAGGGGGGCCCCCCCCTGCCTCAGTGGGATAAAGGGCCCGGTTTTTTGGAAAAAAGAAAAAAATTGGAAAATTAAAAAAATTATCATGTCCAAAAGTCAATGCATCAACAGTCATGGGAAAGGCAAAAGCCCAGGATCTCTCTTTCCTTACACTTTCTTCAAACATTCAATGTATGTACCTACCAAAAACAATGTGGCACTCCTAATGGGCCCCCAAAAGATTACCCGAGTTACAAAAAAAATGTGGGAAATAACCTAGACAAGTGTAAAGTTTCCTTCGTTTATTTACACAAAATTTGGGGTTTTCTTTGCATGGGGGATTTATTTAAAAACACATTTATTTTTATGTCCAAACAGCCTTTTCGGGGGGGGGGGGGGTTGGTTTCCCTCACCAACCTTTCCTTTTTCATGCTACACAAGCTTCTGGGCCCCGGCTGAAAATGTAAGAAAACTTTATTAGTTTTAAAAACAATGGACCCCCGCTTTATGATCACCTCCCAATTCGACCAATTTGTAAGTGTATTTAGTAATATTTGTTTGTGAAAGTTTGGGGGGGGCCTGAAATGGACTAATCAATTCCCCAATATTCCTAAGGGAAAAAATTCGTTCAGTTTCTGGGGACTGGGAAAATACTTCTGGGAAAGAAATAAAAATCGTAAACTGGGGGGGTCCACTGATCTTATTTATAAATATATTTTTCTGTGAATTTTCATAATTTTCTGCCTCCCAAAATTAGAACACAATTTTTCAGCAAACCCCCGTAGAGCACAAAACAGAAAAATTTTTGTGCTTTAGTTAAAATATAAACAAAATTCAGGGCCCGATTAAGAAACATCCAAAATTTAAAATTAAAATTTTTACCCCTTTCTTTTCCCATCCCAAATTTAAATTTTCCCGCATTCCAAAGAATTTTTTTCTTGGGAAAAACCTTTTTTTTTGACACAAAGGCCAATTTTCTCACCAAAGGAAGGGGAACCAAAAAAAAGGAAATACATTCACCATTGCTCATTCAATTGCTATTTTGCCAAACATGAACCTATATCACAGTTCAGATACCCCCTGGACTGAAACAGTCTCCAACATACTCTCGCAAACCTGTTGGATGTCCAAGCTCCTAGCACTCAAAACTTCCTCTGCCCACTCCTTCAAGAAAAAGTATGTAACCCACAACTCACAGTGCTTGGGGAATGGGAGGGTACACATATCAAGTTTGATCCAAGGAAGTGTAACTTTAATTTCTTAGATCAAGATCCCTTCACCAACATCAAGGCACCTCACTTGAAAGGGAGTAGTTCATAGAGCACCAATAATTTCTAACTTTCCTCAAAAAGCTGTTATTCTTTTTAGTACATCACCTTTGCCGACCAAAGCAAGGCGACCCAAAAATGAAAACACATTCTATATTACTTGGTCTTTAGCTCTTTCCAGAACAATGCAGACATCTCAGGCCAATGATAACACAATCAACCATAACAAACACTGAGCTGTTGAAGTCCTGACATTGTAATTCCAATTTCTAAAATCATTTTCCCTGATTCTGTAACAGTATTTATATTCCTTTATAACCTGTACACTGACACTACAAAATGACTATAAACTACAGTAAGACAGAAAAAACTAACATTTTTAACATTAATATATCTGCAGAAAATGCACACTATAAAGTAAGTTAGGTTGCATGTGACTTGTGATTTTTTGGAGATAAAGTTATGTAATAAAGTAACTTTGACTAACCCCACTGCATGGGCCATTGCAAGCCTTGTGGCACTGTTCACACAGGAGCTTTGTGTCGTCTTTGTATGCTTCATAGTACCCATAGCTACAAGCATCACACATGTCACCTTTGTAACCTGGGTTGCAAGAACAGTCACCACTTCCCTTCCTTGTTCCTGCACCCTGTAAACATTGGTCTAATATCAGAATGTTGATTATAAAATTTAGAAATACTGTGCAGTTTGTACCTTAATAAAAATGTTCAGTAGAAACAAGTTTTTGACACAGTTACTAACTTCTTAATGAGACAGCATTTAAAAAAAAAAGTGAAAAAATGGGGGATATTTCATCCTGTGAGAGACCCTCATCAGCAGAGAGATGTACATGTTACAGTAAAACTTAGGAAGGAATGCACATACAGATTTGCATGTGATCTCTGTTTACTTCATCCATCTGTTAAAGAAATATTCCTAGAATTCATGCCAATCAGCTCATTTTTTATAATACATTGGCCATCTATTAAGAGAGGGTGACACATTCACCACAATTCATTAGATCACTGTCTTGCCAGAAGCATGCTAACATGGCAGTTGAGATGACCCTCTGAACAGCAACACTCACCCCTCCCTTTAGATTTCTGGCACTGAAATTCCCATCTCCAGGACTCAAGTCTGGCTAACCAGTTTCCCTGAATCCATTCATAAATGTTACATTGCTCACACTCCAACAGCATTTCAAGCCATGAAAACATCTTGTCTCCATTCGCTCACATAAGCCAGTTGGATGTTTAACCCCCTTGCAGTTAAAACCTCTACTCTCTCCAAAAACCCTTCCTGGGACAAGCAATTTCTCTTCTTCCTTCCACCTGACTTAGATACCCTCTTAGTCATCCTATTCTGCTCTATTTTTTCTAAATGCTTTTAATAAACTAACAACTATTCCATACAGCTGCAATATTTGCCACATTACTTCCCTACCCACATATTCATAAGCCTTTTCTAAACCTATAAATACTACAAATGGCTTCTTACTCTTATCTAAACACTATACATACAATATTTACACTTCCTAAATTCTCCTTGTTCCTTTGTAATCTTACTTTCTGCCTTATCCCCACTCTTTCAATAATAATTCTTCCTAGTATACTCAACAGACTTACTCCTCTATAAATCTTAAACTGCTCCTTGTTCATTCTTTCCCCTTATACAAAGGAACCATACATGTTCTCTGCTTTCTTTCATACATATTATTACTTTTTATATAAACACTTTGGCCATTTCCCACCAAGGCAGGACAACCTGAAAAAGAAGAAACACTTTCATCATCACTCACTATCACTGTCTTGCCAGAGGTGTGCCTACACTACAGTTCAAATGGTGCAACATATCTCCGCCTTGCTTCGGAGTGCATGCACTGTACTTCCTACCTCCGGGACTCAAATATACCAACTACTCCAGAATTAACTCTTTTTACAATGCCAATATAACAATACTTAAAATTCAAAAGAATAATAATGTACCTTACACTTGCCATTCCCATTACAAGGGTTGTCAATGCCACCTTTACACGGAAGGCAGCGAGGGCCATAGTGATTAGTGGGACAGCACACCCTGAGTGTGTCTATACAGAGCCACATGTGTAGGTCAGGCTGCACCTCCTGCTCCTGGAACCACCAGTCTTCTAGCAGTCCCTCATGCTCCTCTGCACCAGCTTCACACTATCAAGGTGGAGATAAATGGTATAAAATACTAACACAATAGAAAAACAAAACACAAATGCAGTATAATGTGAACCTTTATTGACAATGTTTCATTCTCTTTGAACTTCATCAAGTCTTGACTTGATAAAGTCTTGATCAAGTCAACCACACTGTTGTTCACATACTGACCACGATCAAGCAGTCATTCATACTGCAGTGCCCTGCACACCCAGGATGATGATGTGCTGTGAATCATCCTCGTGTCGTGCAGCCGACAACGCACTCACACCGATGATGTAATACCAGTGATCAGATGACTCAACATGGCAATCTCACCACAATTCAAACTCTTGCACACATTTTCTCTTTTTGCAATCTATTCAATTCTCAGTATAATGTGTACCATAATATTTTTCATCATTTGGTGGGGGCCCCTTCTGGTTGGGGGCCTGGGGCCCCTCTCCTAAATCCGGTCCTGCACTAGTGTACAAAGTTTTTACAGTATAAATGCTTTGTTTTGTGCGAGTCAGAGAGGATAAATAATGCAGAAGGGAAAGGAATAAAAGTGTATTTAACTTTCAGCATACAGTGGGCCCTTGGCTAACGAACGCATCGCATAACGTTAAATCCGCCCAATGAACGTTAAATCCGCCCAATGAAGCGTTTGAGCATAAAAATTTTGGCCTGCTAACGATGAAAAACTCGCCCAACATGATTTGTCCTGAGCCTGTCGGTCCAGCCTGAGCGCCTCAGCTGCCCTGCCATCATTGTTTACAAGACAGGGTGGCTGGTTTTATGCATACATTCGATACATTTTGTATTATTCCAGTGTTTATAGTGCTTGTAACTGCTAAATAAGCCACTATGGGCACAAAGAAAGCTTATAGTGCCAACCCTGTGGTAAAAAGGGTGAGAAATACTATCGTACCATGGTCAGCTGCTGCTGCACCACCGTCAGCTGTACTACTTGAAGATGTAGAGAGACTGTTGTTGGTGTGGCTTAACGAGAAACAATTACCAAGAAACAATTAACCCCAGAGGGTTAGCCACCCAGGATAACCCAAGAAAGTCAGTGAGCCATCGAGGACTGTCTAACTTATTTCCATTGGGGTCCTTAATCTTGTCCCCCAGGATGCGACCCACACCAGTCGACTAACACCCAGGTGAACAGGAAAAAATGCCTGGAACTAGTGCTCATATTGGTGAATTTAAGGCCAGCAAATTCAAATTCAAAGTTTATTCTCTATAAGGATTACAATGCTGAGTTTACAGAATTTGGTTATTGTGTGGTTTACATGTAGTAAAATAATGACTACAGAGTGTACCACTAGAACACCTAGCATAGCTAGGCATTTCGGGCAGGCTTAGTTTAATTCTTAATTTTAAAATATTATAAATTATGAGGTAAGTTGGTATTATGGCTAAGTGACTAAATACTAGTTTGTGAGTTTAGCAATGTGAATGCTTTTGTTTTGGCACAGTACATAGTTTCAGTATTGGAGTATCACAGGATTCATTATTTTAAGAATGAGATTAATATTTCTGTTTATGGTCAAATGGGTGAGTGAGTGTAAGTGTGAACCACCAGGTGGTATTCGTGTAGTTAGTTGACGGGGTGTATCAGGGAGATAAGATGTTTTCTAATGGTAGTTTTGAAGGTGATGAATGTGTCTGCAGTTCTAGAGTTCTCAGGTAGGGTGTTCCAGATTTTAGGGCCTTTGACATACATTGAATTTTTGTAAAGGTTTAGTCGGACACGGGGAATGTCGTAGAGATGTTTCTGAAGAGAAGTTGCAGAGATTGGTGGATGAATTTGGTAGGGTGTGCAAAAGAAGAAAATTGAAAGTGAATACAGGAAAGAGTAAGGTTATGAGGATAACAAAAAGATTAGGTGATGAAAGATTGGATATCAGATTGGAGGGAGAGAGTATGGAGGAGGTGAATGTATTCAGATATTTGGGAGTGGACGTGTCAGCGGATGGGTCTATGAAAGATGAGGTGAATCATAGAATTGATGAGGGGAAAAGGGTGAGTGGTGCACTTAGGAGTCTGTGGAGACAAAGAACTTTGTCCTTGGAGGCAAAGAGGGGAATGTATGAGAGTATAGTTTTACCAATGCTCTTATATGGGTGTGAAGCATGGGTGATGAATGTTGCAGCGAGGAGAAGGCTGGAGGCAGTGGAGATGTCATGTCTGAGAGCAATGTGTGGTGTGAATATAATGCAGAGAATTCGTAATTTGGAAGTTAGGAGGAGGTGCGGGATTAATGGAAGGAAGGCAGGGTAGGGGTCGGCCTAGGAAAGGTTGGAGGGAGGGGATAAAGGAGGTTTTGTGTGCGAGGGGCTTGGACTTCCAGCAGGCATGCGTGAGCGTGTTTGATAGGAGTGAATGGAGACAAATGGTTTTTAATACTTGACGTGCTGTTGGAGTGTGAGCAAAGTAACATTTATGAAGGGGTTCAGGGAAACCGACAGGCCGGACTTGAGTCCTGGAGATGGGAAGTACAGTGCCTGCACTCTGAAGGAGGGGTGTTAATGTTGCAGTTTAAAAACTGTAGTGTAAAGCACCCTTCTGGCAAGACAGTGATGGAGTGAATGATGGTGAAAGTTTTTCTTTTTCGGGCCACCCTGCCTTGGTGGGAATCGGCCAGTGTGATAATATAATATATGTTTGTGTCTGGTGTTATGCCTGTGGGTTCTGTCACAACTATCAAGAAAGCGTTTTAGGTCAAGGTTGATATTGGAGTTTAAGGTCCTGTAGATGTAGATTGCACAGTAGTAAGTGTGGATGTACTGAACAGGGAGTAAGTTTAGATCTATGAAGAGTGGGGGGGTGTGTTGCCAGGGATGGGATTTAGTGATTATTCTTACTGCAGCTTTTTGTTGGGTTATTATTGGCTTTAGGTGTGTTGCTGCAGTTGATCCCCAAGCACAAATAGCATAGATGAGGTATGGATACATAAGTGAGTAGTATAGTGTGAGAAGGGCATTTTGCGGCACGCAGTATCGTATCTTGGAGAGGATCCCAACCGTTTTGGATACTTTTTTTGGTTATGTGTTGGATATGGGTGCTGAAATTCAGGTTGTTGTCAAGGTATAGGCCTAGAAATTTGCCCTAATTATGTCTGGTAATTAGTGTTGTCGATCTTAATGTTAATTTGTGCATCTCCTGCTCTGCTACCAAACATAATATAGTAGGTTTTGTCAGTGTTAAGCGTAAGTTTATTGGCTGTCATCCAAGTCGATATTTTGATCAGCTCCTCGTTAACAATGGTGTTGAGGGTGGCAAGATTAGGGTGAGAGATGACATAAGTCGTGTTGTCAGCAAAGAGAATGGGCTTCAGGTGTTGGGATACGTTTGGAAGATCATTGATGTATACGAGGAAGAGCAGGGGACCAAGGACACTTCCCTGCGAAACTCCAGTATCAAGTGGCCGTGTTGTTGATGCTGTGTCTTTAATGGTGACATACTGATACCTATTAGTAAGGTAAGATTTGAAATAAGCAAGCGCATGGCCTCTTATACAGTAATGGTCAAGTTTGTGGAGTAGGATGTCGTGGTCTACTGTGTCAAAAGCTTTTCTTAGGTCAATAAAAATTCCTAGTGGATATTCCTTATTTTCCAATGCTGTGTAAAGCAGATCTAGCATTTTTATGATTGCATCATTAGTGCTTTTATTTTTCCTGAATCCAAACTGGCAGGGGTTGAGTATGTTTTGTGCCGTTATAAATGAATATAGTCTCCTGTGCACAAGTTTCTCAAAGATTTTGGATAGCAATGGTAAGTTTGATATTGGCCTATAGTTGTTTAAGTCTGTAGGGTCACCACCTTTATGTATTGGTGTAACCCTTGCCATCTTGAGTAGTTTCGGGAAGGTGCTAGTTTCCAGTGACTTGTTAAAAAGTAATGAAATAGCATGCGAAAGGACATGGGCCATTCGCTTGTACAGTAATGGTGGGACATGAGACAGATTCCCTGAGTTATTTTTAAGTGACTTTATAATCTCGGTGACTTCCGTGGGCTCAGTTGGTGCAAGATAGAAGGAATTTGGGAAATTCCCATCTAGGTAGTCCCCAGCATGGGCATTGGTATGTGGGATTTTATTGGCGAGATTAGATCCTATGGTTGAGAAGAAGTCGTTCATCTTGTTAGCTGTGTCAGTGGGATGTAGTGGTGTTTCATTAGGTTTAGTTAGGGCAATATTCTTGTTTTTTTTCAGTTTGTGGGTCCCTAGAATCTGAGAGAGTGTTTTCCAGGTCTTTTTTATATCTCCTCTAGTGTCTGTGAATCTACTGGAGTAGTATAGTTGTTTGGCTTTCTTTATTACTTTGGTGAGAACTGATGAATAGTGTTTAAGAATATCTTTGTGTATTAAGCTCTGTCTATATTGCTTTTCATATTGGTGTTTCTTGTCAATGGATTTCAGAATGGTGCTGGTTAGCCATGGGCAACCAAGCCGTTTATTTGTGATCTGTTTCGTTAAGGTTGGTTTGAGAGACTTAAGAATCATAGTGGCATACACAGTGTGATAAGGCATGGCAAAGCTGAAAAATTCCAACTCCAACAAGTGTTCAATTGTGACAAAACAAGCCTGTTCTGGAAGAAAATGCCAAACAGGGCCTACATTACTCAGGAGGAAAAGGCACTCCCAGGACACAAGCCTATGAAAGACAGGCTAACTTTCTTGTTTTGTTGTAATGCTAGTGGGGACTGCAAAGTGAAGCCTTTACTCATGTATCACTCTGAAAATCCCAGAGTGTTCAAGAAAAACAGTGTCTCATCACTCATCAATACTCTTCCATAAAGGTAGGTGTCATTTTAACATTTATTTATATAGTTATTGTGCATGTCTCATTGTTTTCTTTGTAGGAAAATGTATATTTCATGAAAAAAAAATGATTTTTTTTAATACTTTTGGCTGTCTGGAATGGATTAATTGGATTTTCATTATTTCTTATGGGGAAAATTAATTCAACTAATGATAATTTCGTCTAACAATGAGCTCTCAGGAACAGATTAATATCGTTAGCCGAGGGTCCACTGTACTTTCTAAAAGGAAAATTCACTATCTTATGACACAGTCACTGTATGAGTCATCGGAAATAATTCTCATTATTCAAAAAAAGTATTCATGAATTTTACTCACCTGTTTCTGTCCTCTTTCAACATCTTTGCATAATTTTTCCTGAATCTCAATCAATCGCACTTCAGATTTCTTATACGACACCATTTTCTCTGCTTCCCAAGCTGAGTCTCCACCTTCAAACTTTCCACGAGCAGTTGACTCTATTCCCTTTAGGGAGGTAAATTAAAAAAAAATATAAGTACAAAATTTTCTGGCATATAAGGTGTACTTTTTCCCCACAAACAATCTTGGAAAATCAGCCTGCACCTTATATACTCAAGGTCAGGGTCAAGGGTAGGTTTTGGGTTATTGTTTTAACAGTTGTTCACTAGTGTTATGTTACAACTAAATGAAAACACCTTGTATGACTTACATGCTCATGCACCTTATTTTTTTTTTTTTCCAACAAGTCGGCCGTCTCCCACCGAGGCAGGGTGACCCAAAAAAAAAAGAAAGAAAATCCCCAAAAAGAAAATACTTTCATCATTCAACACTTTCACCACACTCGCACATTATCACTGTTTTTGCAGAAGTGCTCAGAATACAACAGTTTAGAAGCATACACATATAAAGATACACAACATATCCCTCCAAACTGCCAATATCCCAAACCCCTCCTTTAAAGTGCAGGCATTGTACTTACCATTTCCAGGACTCAAGTCCGACTATATGAAAATAACCGGTTTCCCTAAATCCCTTCACTAAATATTACCCAGCTCACACTCCAACAGATCGTCAGGTCCCAAGTACCATTCGTTCTCCATTCACTCCTATCTAACATGCTCACGTACGCTTGCTGGAAGTCCAAGCCCCCTTGCCCACAAAACCTCCTTTACCCCTCTCTCCAACCCTTTCGAGGACGACCCTACCCCGCCTTCCTTCCCCTAAAGATTTATATGCTTTCTATGTCATTCTACTTTGATCCATTCTCTCTAATGACCAAACCACCTCAACAACCCCTCTTCTGCTCTCTGACTAATACTTTTATTAACTCCACACCTTTTCTAATTTCCACACTCCGAATTTTCTGCACAATATTTACACCACACATTGCCCTTAAACAGGACATCTCCACTGCCTCCAACCGTCTCCTCGCTGCTGCATTTACCACCCAAGCTTCACACCCATATAAGAGTGTTGGTACTACTATACTTTCATACATTCCCTTCTTTGCCTCCATAGATAACGTTTTTTGACTCCACATATACCTCAACGCACCACTCACCTTTTTCCCTCATCAATTCTATGATTAACCTCATCCTTCATAAATCCATCCGCCGACACGTCAACTCCCAAGTATCTGAAAACATTCACTTCTTCCATACTCCTCCTCCCCAATTTGATATCCAATTTTTCTTTATCTAAATCATTTGACACCCTCATCACCTTACTCTTTCTATGTTCACTTTCAACTTTCTACCTTTACACACATTCCCAAACTCATCCACTAATCTTTGCAATTTTTCTTTAGAATCTCCATAAGCACAGTATCATCACCAAAAAGTAACTGTGTCAATTCCCATTTTGAATTTGACTCCCCAAAATTTAATCCCACCCCTCTCCCGAACACCCTAGCATTTACTTCCTTTACAACCCCATCTATAAATATATTAAACCATGGTGACATTACACATCCCTGTCTAAGACCTACTTTTACTGGGAAGTAGTCTCCCTCTCTTCTACACACCCCAACCTGAGCCTCACTATCCTCATAAAAACTCTTTTACAGCATTTAATAACTTACCACCTATTCCATATACTTGCAACATCTGCCACATTGCTCCTCTATCCACTCTATCATATGCCTTTTCTAAATCCATAAATGCAATAAAAACTTCCCTACCTTTATCTAAATACTGTTCACATATATGCTTCAATGTAAACACTTGATCTACACATCCCCTACCCACTCTGAAACCTCCTTGCTCATCCGCAATCCTACATTCTGTCTTACCTCTAATTCCTTCAATTATAACCCTACCATACACTTTTCCTGGTATACTCAGTAAACTTATTCCTCTATAATTTTTACAGTCTCTTTTGTCCCCTTTCCCTTTATATAAAGGGACTATACATGCTCTCCACCAATCCCTAGGTACCTTCCCCTCTTTCATACATTTATTAAACAAAAGTACCAACCACTCCAACACTATATCCCCCCTGCTTTTAACATTTCTGTCATGATCCCATCAGTTTCAGCTGCTTTACCCCCTTTCATTTTACGCAATGCCTCACGTACCTCCCCCACACTTACATTCTGCTCTTCTTCACTCCTAAAAGATGGTATACCTCCCTGACCAGTGCATGAAATTACTGCCTCTCTTTCTTCCTTAACATTTAAAAGTTCCTCAAAATATTCTCGCCATCTACCTAATACCTCCATCTCCCCATCTACTAACTCCCCTACTCTGTTTTTAATGGACAAATCCATACTTTCCCTAGGCTTTCTTAACTTGTTTAACTCACTCCAAAATTTTTTCTTATTTTCATTAAAATTTCTTGACAGTGCCTCTCCCACTCTATCATCTGCTCTCCTTTTGCACTCTCTCACCACTCTCTTTACCTTTCTTTTACTCTCCATATACTCTGCTCTTCTTATAACGCTTCTGCTTTGTAAAAACCTCTCATAAGCTACCTTTTTCTCTTTTATCACACCCTTTACTTCATCATTCCACCAATCACTCCTCTTTCCTCCTGCCCCCACCCTCCTATAACCACAAACTTCTGCCCCACATTCTAATACTGCATTTTTAAAACTATTCCAACCCTCTTCAACCCCCCCACTACTCATCTTTGCACTAGCCCACCTTTCTGCCAATAGTCGCTTATATCTCACCCGAACTTCCTCCTCCCTTAGTTTATACACTTTCACCTCCCTCCTTCCACTTCCACCTCCCTCCAAATTCACCTTATATGCTAGAAAATACAGTAATGCTGTAAATTAATGAGCTTCAGATGCCCTTTACAATTACAGCTAAAAATTGAAAAACATGAAACGGGTGGGGTCTGAACCCATTCCGTTGTCTGCAACTGTGTTATTATGATTTCACGAGTCAATTAAAGCTATACCTTGAAGTCTGGCAGCCAAAAATGGATACAGTAAATTTGTGATTAGCAGAAATAACCTGCACATAGAAGAGAGGAGCTTACGAGGACGTTTCGGTCCGACTTGGACCATATACAAGTCGGACTGAAACATTGTCGTAAGCTCCTCTCTTCTATGTGTGGGTTATTTGTGTATCGTTCCAGTCACGGTATTGTGCCTTTTTTTGTTATTTTTTTGTGATCAGCAGCCATTTACCCACCAACTCTAAGCATTTTTTAACAATTGTTTTTATAATAAATATATCAATATAAGAATAAAATTATTTAAATATGAAAACTGTTTGCTCACTACCATTCTGTTAAGGAAAGATCTTGCAGTTCTCTGGCCTAGTAACAGGTAGACAAAATCTCATTTAGTACCCAAATATAATAGATTTTTCCAGTTTATGAACTATTCATATTGTATTTACATAGCTTAATTAACATCTGATATGTAATTAATGCCCTTAAGAAAAGTGAAGTTATTACTCAGTATTATTCATATCAATCAATCAAAGTTTATTCTCTATAAGGATTACAATGCGGGGTTTACAGATTTTGGATATTGTGTGGGTTACATGTTATAAAATACTAATTACAGAGGGGGCCACTAGGACACCTAGCATGGCTAGGCATTTCGGGCAGACTTAGATTAATTCTTAATTCTAAATTATTACAAATTATGGAGTATGTTGGTATTATGGCTAAGTGACTAAATTATAGCTTGGGAGTTTAGCAATGTGAATGCTTTTATTTTGGCACAATACATAGTTTGTATATTGGAGTATCACAGGCAAACTTACGACTAGTTAAGATTCATTATTTTAAGATTAAGATTCGCATTTCTGCGTTTATAGTCAAATGGGTGAGTGAGTGAGTAAGTGTGAACCACCAGGTGGTTTTCATATAGTTAGTTGACGGGGTGTATCAGGGAGATAAGATGTTTTCTAACGGTAGTTTTGAAGGTGATGAATGTATCTGCAGTTCGAGGTTTCAGGTAGGGTGTTCCAGATTTTAGATAGTAAGTTGGTAGACAGCAACCACCCAGGGAGGTACTACCGTCCTGCCAAGTGAGTTTAATTTACAGTCTTTCTTGAAACATGATTTATGTTGTAAATATCTCTACTGGTATCATTGTTACTGATGTCTGGAATACTATTACACACTACCACTAGTGTCATCTTCTCATAAAGTATTTTATTTTTTCCCGGACTAGGTTCCCATGAAGAAAAAAAGGACCCAGAAACAAATAATTTTGGCTGGCTCTTTTGGGGTTACCTTGGGTAATTTACACATGTATGATAATTATACAGTGGACCCCCGCATAGCGAACGCCTTGCATAGCGAACAATCCGCATAGCGAACGCTTTGTTCGCTAAAATTTTGCCCCGCATAGTGGACAAAAACCCGCTCAGCGACCTTCGTCCGAGACGCGTCCAATGTGCGGCCTCAGCCAGCCTCACATGTGCTGCCCGTCCCATTGTTTACCAGCCAGCCTCCGCGGTAACATTCAAGCATACACTCGGAATATTTCGTATTATTACAGTGTTTTCGGTGCTGTTTCTGGAAAATAAGTGACCATGGGCCCCAAGAAAGCTTCTAGTGCCAACCCTGTGGTAAAAAGGGTGAGAATTAGTATGGAAATTAAGAAAGATTTTGAAGGGTTTGGGGCTAACCCTGAGAAGCCTATGCCAGTTGTGGAATCCATTGTGCCTACTTCAAAAATTAAGGAAATGTGTGCACAGTGGGTTGAACTGCAAACCTTTATGGATGAAAATCACCCTGACACAGCTGTTGCAAGCCGTGCTGGTGACTATTTCAATGACAATGTTATGGCCCATTTTAGACAAATCGTAAAGGAACGGGAGATTACAGAGCTCTATGGACAGATTTGTTGTGCGACAGAGGTCCAGTGACTCTGAAGCTGGTCCTAGTGGCATTAAAAGAAGAAGGGAAGTAACCCCGGAAAAGGACTTGCTACCTCAAGTCCTAATGGAAGGGGATTCCCCTTCTAAACACTAACACTCTCTCTCCCCTCCTCCCATCCCATCAATCATCACCAGATCTTCAATAAAAGTAAGTGTCATGTAATTGTGCATGCCTTTTTCAGTTTGTGTGTACTAAAATTAACATTTTTTTGTGGTAAAAAAAATTTTTTTTCATACTTTTGGGTGTCTTGCACGGATTAATTTTATTTCCATTATTTCTTATGGGGAAAATTAATTCGCATAGCAAACATTTCGCATAACGACCAGCCCTCTTGCACGGATTAAGTTCGCTATGCGGGGGTCCACTGTACTTATTTGTAGCTGTGTCTAAATAAAGTGACTTGCAGTGTATGAATAGGAAGAGTATAGGTCTAGTGTCCCTATTCTCAACCTCTCTCTTATTGCACTCACTGACTGAGTGAAATCAGAAAGTATATTTCCCTGATTTAGCTAGATATCTGTGAACTTGTTGGGCTTCTGTAACAAGCTAGAAGGAATGTAGATATACATCTGAGTAGCTTAAACCATAAAAAAAATAATGTAGCTGTCACAATTCTTAATACTGTATGTATTCCGTAAATGCACAGGTTTCACAAAGCACGGATAGTGTATGCAAGGGGACAAAGAAATCACTACAATAACAGAATGAGCAACAAGAATTTTAATGCAACAGAGCAGGTCTTATTCAGCCTACAATTAGTTGTGAATTTGTAGCCGATTATGTCCATACCTTTTTGAAAGAGTCTGTCAGGGTCTTGCAGGCACTGCATGGTGGTAGTTTGGCAGACTTCAAATTCTCCTTATTCTTATTTTTGTCTCCATCGCTACTGCTACTGCTGCTGCTGCTAGTGGTGGTGCTACTGCTGCTGCTGCTAGTGCTGGTGCTACTGCTGCCATCAGGTCCACTTTTACTTCTGCTTGTGTCTGGGATTATTTGTGCTACCAAGCAGCTTAGTCCCACCACAACTAAGAGAAAAACTTCCTTTCTGCACAGTCTATGCATTCTGAAAATATGAAGAAGTATAAGGAATATTAATCAGGGTAATGAAGATAATTGATTATCCAGTGATCAGTTACTTGGTGTTCAACATAATCCCACAGTTTTGTTTGATCTGGTACTTAAGCAGATAATGGTAAAAAGGAGCATGTAACAGGAGGTCCTATGAAAAATGATATGAACACCCAGTACTGTTGAAAATTTGGCATACTCTTCGCCCTGGAAGTGCAGGATAATCTATGATCATTTCTTTCTTTGCCCATTTACTTCTGAAAGCTCTACATGTATGATTTTTTTCTTGAGACTTTTGTAGACCATATTACACAAATTTATTTGCCACAGTCTCATGCCTAATGGTTATTTCCCATTTATCATACCTAATGCTACTCCAAAATTTTAACCATTTTTTGTTTAAACTATTTTATTCATACATTTTTCACCTATATTTTCCTTGGATAAAATGATTGCATATAAGTATGTAAGTTTATTCAGGTATACACAAATACAGTTACATAGGTTATCATACATAGCAGCATATGGTAGGTAAGACACATAGGCAACAGTTAGGCAACTGTATACCATTTTGATGTTCATAGCAGCATATGTGTAGAGTACCTAGGATAACCCCCAAAAAGTCAGACAAAGTGACTTATTTCCAGTGGGGTCCTTCATTAATGTTTTCAAGTTGAATGCAGCAACTGCAGTTTATTTTCCAGAATATACAAATAACTAAAACTGGAAGAGAAAGTCTTTCTTATAAATCTCAAATTATATAAATCAAATTAGTTTACAAATAAATAAATACTACACCATTAGCACACAACGACATGATGTTTATACTTTTTCCTCTTGCTACTTATATAACAGGTTTGCCATAGTAATGCACATTAAGAATACAAAATGTAACAATCTCTTCCAACAGCTTAATCAGGCACTTAATAGCTTTAATTTTAAATTACATAATTATTATTACTTTCTTTGACATAATTAGAGGTAATATACCCAAATTTTTCATGGCTGTATATTATTATTATAAACACTGGGAAGGGTTTGCATTAAATCATTATTTTCATAATCAAAACCAAGCATTAAACCCACTAGGGTTCCATTAAACCCATAGGGGTCAAACAGTGAATGAGGCATTGGGAGGCAATCAGGTTTGATCCAATCTAATTTCCTGGACCAAAAGCCCCTTGTTAGCATCAAGGAACCTTCCTTGAGGGAATATATCTATACAGCCTCTCCTCACTTAGCGACTTGCTCGTTTACCAATGACTCGGACTTACGACAGGCTTTCTGACCAATATGCATATCTAAATAATGTATATTAAAGCTGATTTCCTCTATTGTGTTTATTACAATATACAATACACTACTGTATAAACATTTAAAAATATACCAGAAATGTTACAAATGGTGCAAAGGTGACATTAAAACAATATCAAAGATTGTATTAAAGTTGGTAGAATTACCAACAATATGTTAGGTATATGGACACAAGTGCAACTAATGTAACATTTTACTGCGGCAACATTTCGCTCTCCAGGAGCTTTATCAAGCCGTTACAAACAATACATGGACACAGAGGGTATATACTATAGGCTTAAAGTGAGCTGTAATACTAGTGGTAGTAGTAGTAGTAATACATGTAGTAGAACAATCAACTTGCATATGAGTAAAAGGTTATAAAAGCTATTCCTTGGGTAGCATAAAAATAGGCTAGACAAATATTTCTGTTAGTGGTTGGATTTGAGAAACTAGAAACTAAGTATGTAGTTTGGACGTAACTTCTCTCTTCACTAAAGTGCCTACCACACAAGCCATTGACATTCTACAACATCAAGTCAATTAAGACCTTAATCTTCCTCTACCTCCTGGAGATTTTGTCAACTTGATTGAACTCTGCATTAATTTCAATTGCTTTTCTTTCAATAACAGGCTCTACAAACAAACCTATGGTATAGGAATGGGGTCCCCCATCAGTGCTATCTTAGCCAACTTGTATATGAAGCACCTGGAAGCTGAACACTTCACAAACATCATCCCCACCAGCGTCGCTTGGTTATGTTATGTGAACGGCGTCCTCATAACAACTCCCACACGTTCTGATGTGTGGAATCTTCAAGCAAGGCTCAATGCAGATGAACTGGCTATCCAATTTACACTTCAAGAAGAGTCCAATGACAAGTTACCTTTTCTAGACATCCTCATTCAAAAAATAAATAATCTAAGATTTCAAGTTTACAATAAAATTAAAAACAAGATACAAAGACCAAAAAAGGCACCATCATCGGATTTTTCATAAGAGCATACCGAATTTGTAGTCCTGAGTTTCTTGACAAGGAATGTACTTACAAATGCCAAACCTTCACTGATCTACATTTTCCTTCCTTTTTCGTCAAAGACGGCAAGAAAAGAGCTCTTCAGATCATTAATTCTCCACTATACCTTGTGGAAGCTGCGACAGAATATACGTAGGTGAAACAACAAGGAACCTCGAAACACATCTCAATGAACACATTAATGCATGTAGGAACGATAACTTGAACATTACCTGCATACAACACCGGAATTCCACCAATCACCTCATGAAATTCAATGACGCCTGACTAGTGATCAGAGAATCCAATTTTCACAGACGATAAATGCTTTGAATCAATTGCAGTTTCTAACACAATCAAGCAAAATAAAGGCAGCTTCATCATGTCTGAAATATAAGCAAAAATCCTCAAAACAATAAACCCTGCCATCACATAGTTGCTGCTGCTAATACTAAACAAGAACATATCAGAGGAGGAACAATGAAACAGGCCGCCTCAAATCCAACCACTAACAGAAATATCTGTCTAAACTATTTTTATGCTACCCAAATAATAGCTTTTGATTGTTCTACCACAAGTATTTCTACTACATACTACTACAACTAATATTATTACTAATATTACCACTAGAATTACGCCTCACACTAAGCCTATATATATGTACTGTCTGTGTCCATGTATTGTTTGTAATGGCTTGATAAAGCTCCTGGAGAGCGAAACGTTGCCACAATAAAATGTCACAATAGTTGCATTTGTGTCCTTTTACCTAAAATATCAAAGATGTTGACACAAACCCACTACCATGATAGTATGCTCCTCAGTGATGAATTTGTTTACCGACGTGGTCTTAGGAACGGAACTCTGTCATTAAGTGAGAAGGGAGAGGCTGTATAAATATAGGAAGGCCCTGCTTATACAGCAGATGGTTCTGGGCTACTGTTGTAAAGCAAAAATTGCTGTAAAGTGAGACAGCCTTTTTTTTACTTTCAAATGAATACAAAAGCCTGGTAACATGTTTACACTATCATATGCAGCCTCTCCTCACTTAATGACGGAGCTCCATTCCCAAGATCACGTCGATAAACGAATTCATCGCTAAGTGAGGAGTATACTAGGCCTAAAAATGCACATACAGTAAATACATAACTTACCTTAAAATATTTTTGTCCTTAGCATATAATGAGTGGTTAATATACAGTGGTACCTCGAGTTTCGGCCATAATTCGTTCCAGAAGGCTGCTCGTGTGCTGTTACTGAACGAGTTTGTTCCCATAAGGAATAATGTAAATTAGATTAATCCATTTCAGACCCCCAAAAATACACTTACAAAAGCACTTACAAAAATACACTTACACAACTGCTCAAGTTGGGAGGTCTTCGAAACTCGAGGGACAACTGTATTTATTGTAGGAAGTCTGAATAAATGAAGAATAGGTATAACTGAAAACCACTGTATTAGTGAAACAATGTAAAGTGAAGTGCTCTAAAGTGGGACACTCATGTATTTAATGCCTACATTCACTGGGTGCTGCAAAATTATGTTCAATATTCCTGGTAGCTGATTCAGATATATAACATTAAAAATATTAGGCAAAATGGTCTAGACAAATACTGATAGTAATCTTGTATGAAAGATTTAATTTTGAAGAACCAGAAGTCACAATACCATGACTGGAACAATTCATGGATAACTTACACTTAGGAGAGCAAACTTATAATAATGTTTTGGTCTGTCCTGGACCACTGTCAAGTCACATGTGAGAGTGGTCTGTCCTGGACCACTGTCAAGTCACATGTGAGAGTGGTCCGGGATGGACCTAGACAATAGTTGATGACACACTGACTCTTTTGGGGTTATCTTAGGTGGTTAACCCTACCCTGACTTATCCTGGGTGGCTAACCCTTCCCTGGCTTATCCTGGGTGGCTAACCCTTCCCTGGCTTATCCTGGGTGGCTAACCCTTCCATGGCTTATCCTGGGTGGCTAACCCTTCCATGGCTTATCCTGGGTGGCTAACCCTTCCCTGGCTTATCCTGGGTGGCTAACCCTCCCCTGGCTTATCCTGGGTGGCTAACCCTCCCCTGGCTTATCCTGGGTGGCTAACCCTCCCCTGGCTTATCCTGGGTGGCTAATCCTCCCCAGGGTTATCCTGGGTGGCTAACCCTTCCTTGACTTATCCTGGGTGGCTAACCCTTCCCTGGCTTATCCTGGGTGGCTAACCCTTCCCTGGCTTATCCTGGGCGGCTAACCCTTCCATGGCTTATCCTGGGCGGCTAACCCTTCCATGGCTTATCCTGGGTGGTTAACCCTTCCCTGGCTTATCCTGGGTGGCTAACCCTCCCCTGGCTTATCCTGGGTGGCTAACCCTCCCCTGGCTTATCCTGGGTGGCTAACCCTCCCCTGGCTTATCCTGGGTGGCTAACCCTCCCCTGGCTTATCCTGGGTGGCTAACCCTCCCCTGGCTTATCCTGGGTGGCTAACCCTTCCCTGGCTTATCCTGGGTGGCTAACCCTCCCCTGGGTTATCCTGGGTGGCTAATCCTCCCCTGGGTTATCCTGAGTGGCTAGCCCTCCCTTGGCTTATCCTGGGTGGCTAATCCTCCCCTGGGTTATCCTGGGTGGCTAATCCTCCCCTGGGTTATCCTGGGTGGCTAATCCTCCCCTGGGTTATCCTGGGTGGCTAATCCTCCCCTGGGTTATCCTGGGTGGCTAATCCTCCCTGGGTTATCCTGGGTGCTAATCCTCCCCTGGTTATCCTGGGTGGCTAATCCTCCCTGGGTCATCCTGGGTGGCTAATCCTCCCTGGGTTATCCTGGGTGGCTAATCCTCCCCTGGGTTATCCTGGGTGGCTAATCCTCCCCTGGGTTATCCTGGGTGGCTAATCCTCCCCTGGGTTATCCTGGCTGGCTAATCCTCCCCTGGGTTGTCCTGGGTGGCTAATCCTCCCCTGGTTTATCCTGGGTGGCTAACCCTCCTTTGGCTTATCCTGGGTAGCTAACCCTCCCTTAGCTTATCCTGGGTGGCTAATCCTCCCCTGGGTTGTCCTGGGTAGCTAATCCTCCCCTGGTTTATCCTGGGTGGCTAACCCTCCTTTGGCTTATCCTGGGTGGCTAACCCTCCCTTGGATTATCCTGGGTGGCTAATCCTCCACTGGGTTATCCTGGGTGGCTAATCTTTCCCTGGGTTATCCTGGGTGGCTAACCCTCCCCTGGGTTATCCTGGGTGGCTAATCCTCCCCTGGGTTATCCTGGGTGGCTAATCCTCCCCTGGGTTATCCTGGGTGGCTAATCCTCCCCTGGGTTATCCTGGGTGGCTAATCCTCCCCTGGGTTATCCTGGGTGGCTAATCCTCCCCTGGGTTATCCTGGGTGGCTAATCCTCCCCTGGAAAGTCACAGTGACTTTACTACCATTACCATGGGTTAAATATCCATAATATACTTCAAAATATACCCATAATAAGCATACCTTCAAGAAAACTAAAAAAAAAAAACCTGTATATATACCGTAGCCTTAACGAAAAACATTCCACCCGGGAGTCGAATCCAGGCGACTGCGGTTATGACCCACTCTATTAATACTGTAGTGAGGTGTATGTGATCCACAGTGAGGTGTAAGGAAGGTTCACTCACCCTGGAGGTGTAGTGTGAGGTGTGAGAGAGTAAGTGTGAGGCCACAGTAACACCACAACAAATGTTGGTGTTTACACTCCTCCAGCTGACATCTCCGTTCCTTTACTTTATTAACCTTTTAAAACCTTCCTTATCTAATTCTAGAAAAATCTATTAATAATAATAATAATAATAATTTAATAATAATAATAATAATAATAATAATAATAATAATAATAATAATAATAATAATTAATAATTAATAATAATAATAATTTAATTCCAAAAATAATGCAGTAAGGAAGGAAGCAAGTATACAAGCAAATAGGTAAGCAAGCAAGCGAATAACTTCATTAAATCACAATTATGCATACAGTAAATACAATCACTCAACTTTCAAGTATAAAAAATTGCTCAAACAATGTCCAGAATATCTTGCTGTCAATTTTGTCAAGGTCGGGAACCAAAGCAATCATAGTACTAGGGGGAGAGAGCACAACTTTGTAGTACCCACAGTCAGTGGCCAGGCGTCAAACACCTTTTATTGTACGGCAATAAAGGAATGGAACAGACTGCCTGCACATGTCAAAGCCAGTCATAGCATGAACCAGTTCAAGAAGAATGCCAAAAGGTGTCTGATGAATGAAGCTACAGAAAGGGAGGGGAATGATTTTCTATTTTTTAGCTAACATACGTGTAAATTTTACCTTATTCCTAGTAATGACCCTCGTATTGTAGATAGTCTTAATGACCCTCGTGTAGTAGATAGTCTTTTTAGTATGATAATAAGATGTTATCTTCATTGTAGAATAATAAGAAAATATTATAACCTTTATATTATAATAATAAGGTAAAAGGACCCCAATGGAAATAAGTCACTCTGTCTGACTTTTTTGGGTTATCCCAGGTTCTCTACACATATGCTGCTATGTATGATAATTCTATGTAACTGTATTTGTGTATACCTGAATAAACTTACTTACTTACTTACTTATTGTTTTACATAGCAACTTATACATAAAATGCCGCGAATGAACCCAAGAGAGTTAGTTGCAGTGACTAATTACCGTCGCAGTGACTTAATACCATGGCAGTGACTTACTAGCGTCGCAGTGACTTACTACCGTCGCAGTGACTTACTACCGTCGCAGTGACTTAATACCATCGCAGTGACTTAGTACCGTCGCAGTGACTTACTACCGTCGCAGTGACTTACTACCGTCGCAGTGACTTACTACCGTCGCAGTGACTTACTACCGTCGCAGTGACTTACTACCGTCGCAGTGACTTACTACCGTTGCAGTGACTACCGTTGCAGTGACTTACTACCGTCGCAGTGACTTACTACCGTCGCAGTGAGCCTATTGCATACGCAGTGCTAAGTCGATTACGAAATCTATCGATTTTTTGTATTTATATAACTGTCTATCTGTCAAATCCCCAGCCATTATATTGAATAATAAGTTTTTATATTTAAATAAATCATCAAAGTGTCTTATTTTCACCTAATATATTTCTTTAAAGGTTAAAGGGATATATTATGTTAAAATTTACATTATTAACTCCATATAAATAACTTAAAACTTAAAAAAAAATAATTTACTTCACTTAGCGACTGATTGACCTACTTACTTATTTTCTTATATGCTTACTTACTGACTTACTCAATTACTTACATACTTATATGTAAAAGAAAGGTGCAAATTCCCTGTCTTATTCAGAACCACAGAAAGAAATGCACTAATAATTTACCAAGGAGAGACAGTAAAAGGAGACCAGTTTACCAGCTATTTAGCAATCTAACTGAATTTATAATCACCTAAAATGCGAATAATTGACTACAGGTGTACGCTTTTAAGCAAGATTCAATTTTCTGCGACGAATAATACTAATAGAACGTTAAGGAAGGCGTTCGTATAAGACACATCCGAAGTTATGTCGTCTGCTAACACCGGCTCACATGCACACATTTCAGTGGAACCAGGATCCAAATATTTTTAAATTCTATGTTTCCTGATATATATATGTTGGTTTTATTTATTCTGTGACGTGTTGAAAACATGTATCTTATGCTAAGGATGATTTGATTTTAAGATTTTTAATTATACAGGCTACATAAATACGCTCAGGAATGATTTATAACACTTTTATTATATATTATGTAAGTTTAATTTATTCTTTGTAAGTATTAACTTAAACAGCAATGATCTATAATTCACGCACAAGAATATATTTAATTATATAAATACAAATTATAAATAAATAGTAATTTATATTTACAAGATGAAAAGTGCAAAACTTACATTATATGAAGTTTTAATGACGGGAATAATATTTAGGACTTTATAAAGCTCCATTATGTGTGATAAAGCCCAAATGACCACCTGGGTGTTAGTGGACTGGTGTGGGTCGCATCCTGGGTGTTAGTGGACTGGTGTGGGTCGCATCCCGGGTGTTAGTGGACTGGTGTGGGTCGCATCCTGGGTGTTAGTGGACTGGTGTGGGTCGCATCCTGGGTGTTAGTGGACTGGTGTGGGTCGCATCCTGGGACAAAACTGACCTAATTTGCCCAAAATACTCCGCATAACAAGCGGCTTTCTATACAGTAGTATGTCATTGATGTCACCTATGGTCTGTATACCTTGTACATGTATTATTGTCATTATTATTATTATTATTATTATTATTATTATTATTATTATTATTATTATTATTATTATTATCAAGTCCCATTGCTCTGCATAGTAAGGTTATCTCTGCATGTACACCTAAATACCACCTATCACTATACACACATAAGATTTCGTTCGGAAATCTCATGAATTCGAATTGTAGGTGAAAAAATTAACTGTGGGTGATAGAGGCGAGGATTTTTTTTATTTAGGCCTCATGTAAATTTTAATCTTATACTTTTAACTATAGTTTTACAGAGTAATTTACAAGCTATGCATCTGATGAGCCTCCAGATTATTGCGTGTTTCACACATTTATTTCCAAATAAAGACTTGTTTGTCTGTCTAGGATCATCCAATAAAGTCAATCAGTTACACTAATTGTATAATGTACCGTATTGCACTTTCAGGAAATAATTTTTTTTTTTTTCGCCGGTACTGTCCCGGCCCGGGTCTTTTCCAAGTAGTGGTGACCCGGCCTTGGCTCCCTATCTGGGGAGTGTCTAGAGACTTAAGTCTCCCATGGGAGGAGGTACAAGTACCCCCTCATCTTTGGGACCAACTGTCCCCAGGCCTAGCCACATTCCCCGCCCTCACGGGGCTCGTAGGGAGAAGCTAGGCCTCTGGTCTGCCATCTGCCCCGCCCCAAAGGGGCCCGTGGGGATGGCAGTCTTGTGAGCTGCAGGTGGTAGCAAGCTCAGGCCAAGAACTAAAGTTTATTTTGTGTTATTTATCAAGCGTGCACATGTCCGTGCGTGCGCCCTCGTGTGTGTATGTGCGCGCGCGCGCTAGTGTGGGTGTATGATCCACTTAATATTTGTATTTATAACTCATTACAATTGTGACCAGGTGTGGACGTATCAGTGGTTCATTACTTTGTAATTTGTTCATGACTGTAACCATGTATAGGAGTGAGGCTAAATTCATTACCTTTGTAACTTGCCATGATTGTGCCCAGATCTACCTGGAGTTCATTACCTTTGTA